GTGGTGGTGGTGACAGTGGGGTGGTGACAGTTGTAGTGATAGTGGTGGCAGCGGCAACGGTGGTGATAGCCATGACAATATAATGGTAGTAGAGGTGGTGAAGTCATATCTTGAAAATTAATCAGTTTGGGTTTTCACGGGTTTTCATTGATTTAGAGATACTAAGTGATTTTTAATGTAGAAATGTTAGTGTTAATTGTTTCGTTCACTTGACACATTGGGTCAACCCGAACTCTATACAATTGTAAATGATTCTACTTGAACACGACATGATTATAAGCAGACAACATCTATTAATTCAATACGAATACAACCCATTAACATGAATAGCCAACTCTAATGTAAATGATAGCTTATGTTTGTTGTTGACATAAGCGATATTGAGAAAAGGAGATTCAAACACATGACCTAAGGTATAGAGTAACTGCTATTGACCACTGGAGCCCTAAGGTATAGAGTAACTGCTATTGACCATTGGAGCTATAAGCCCCTTGCTTATGCTAATATTCTATTATTTCAAACTTGTTGCCGAGCTCATGTAAAAAGCTGATTCCATTAGTAGGTGTACCAAACACACAAAAGAAATCCCATATCCATTATTCACATGAGCGTCAAAAACAGAAACAAAATACTCCCTTAAATTGATCAAATGGAGAGAATGCATTCATGATCTAGCCTCAAGGGCATCCAGTGACAAATGGCCAATACAAATTCATGAGGAGACATCAACATCATCTAGAAAATATGGTTTTAGAAAATTGGTTTGTTATATCCACTCCACCCCCAACCAAATGTGGAAAAGTCAGGAAGCTAAAGCTTCCACCTAAACCATCAAGTACCTGCTACTGCTTCTGAACGTGCTTTGGTAACCACTCAGTTCCACTGATTACAACTTACAAAATTTTATCAATTTTGGTGATTATCAGTTTTAACCCAATTGCTTATAAGTTATATTCAAACAACTCCAACCATAAACCTCTCTTCAGCTTAATTACTGCTGCAATGGACACCATATCCTGCATTGGTGAAGGATGGAGGCTGTGCACAGCTGCAAGCTTTATAAGCTGCATCATTCTGATATTCTTTCTCAACCACAGCCATGACAGGGTAAACCTATCAACTCTTGGGAACATAGCCATAAAATCAACACTACCAGCCAATGAATCAGATGCGAACATGAAGCTCTTGCAAGTAGCAGACTTGAAGGAACACATGAAACAGATGAATAAGGAAGACAAATGCAATGTATTTGATGGAAAATGGGTGTACGATCCGAAGCAAAGCCCTCTCTACCAAGGAGCTCAGTGTCCATTTCTTAGTGACCAAGTCAGCTGCCAAAGGAATGGAAGGGCAGATTTCATGTATGAGAAATGGAGTTGGGAGGCCAAGGGGTGTAAGATTCCAAGGTGAGCTAATTGATTAATTAACCCAAGTATGTGTTAATAATATTGTTACATTTTGTTTGTTGCATCAAAATATATGTAAACAAGGTTGTTATGGTTGAAGGTTTAATGGAACAGACATGTTAGAGAGACTTAGAGGAAAGAGAGTGATTGTAGTTGGGGACTCTCTCAACAGAAACCAGTGGGAATCTCTAGCTTGTCTACTTTACTCAGCTCTCCCACCCTCTCAAGCCCAAGCTGATGTGGAAAGTGGCATCTACAAGGTCTTCACAGCAAAGGTAGGTTTCAAAGTGCTTCTAGTTGTAGAATCTTTCTCCTAGTGAACCCTTTTTAACTGTGAGACACTTGGTTGGTTGGTTTTATATTACTGCAGGAGTATAACTGTTCTGTTGAGTTCTACTGGAGCCCATTTCTAATGCAGCTAGAAATTAACCAAGAGAACGGTGCTAGAATTCTTAGGCTTGACAGAGTTGCTACCTCAGCCAAGAAGTGGGTCGGGGCAGATGTTATGGTATTCAACACCGGTCACTGGTGGGTGCACCATGGAAAGATCAAAGCGTAAGTCTTCTTGATTTATTTTTTTCTCTACTAAAGAAAATCAATGAATATTTATCAAAGAGTTTGTCTAATGGATGTCAGATTTTCAGGTGGGACTTGTTTCGAAATGAGGGGAAAACGGTGGAGAATATGGAGATTGAATCAGCATTTGAGAAGGCTATCAATACCTGGGCACGTTGGATTGATCAAAATGTGGATGTGACCAAAACCAGAGTCTTCTTCCGGAGCATTTCCCCAGAGCACAAGGGAAAGCTTTGGTGCTACAACAAAACCCAACCCATCACGGATGATTCCTATGAAACAACATTTCCCAGAAAAATTATAGAAGCCGTTGAGAGAACAATCCAGCGCATGAAGACCCCGGTGACATACCTGAACATTACGAAGCTGTCTCAGTATCGAAGAGATGCACACCCAATGATTTACAATACAAAGCAATGGAAGCAGTTAGCTATGCAACAAAGACAACCAGAGTCCTCTGCTGATTGCAGCCACTGGTGTCTGCCTGGCCTGCCAGATACCTGGAATAGGCTATTGTATGCTTCATTGCTCTTGGACACTTCCGAAGTCATTCTTAGCTCGTAAGACCTGCTTGTTTGATCTGTCATGAGTGTTAGTGGACTTTGTATACTTCGTTCCTTCAACAGAGTTATAAGAGAAGGGACTTATAAGAGAGGATGAAATGTACAGAAAAGGTACCTACATTAAGTCAGCTGGCAAGCCCTGCAGGTGCCATAAATCAGCATGACCTAGTAGCCTGTCTAAATTAAACTGGCAGGCAAACTAAAATCTCGGACCACGTTTTTACAAAAATCAAGTGCACTAAATCATATAAATAATTTGGATTCCGTATGGATGCAAAGGCTCTGTATGTTCTCTTTAAAAAAGGCAGAGAAAAAATAAAAGAAAAGAAAATCACTATCTTCAGCGTTAAGACCTTATCCCCATGATGTGTTTGAATTCAATGAAGTCCTAAGACATTAATGAACAAGCATATCAATAAGTTGCTTGCCATCGGCAACAAAAACCATGAAGAAGATGTTTGCACCACACAGTAACCATAATAACTCTAACTTGAATAAGTTGTTCTCCCCTCTAGTCACTTAGTTGAACCATTTACGCAAGTTCAACACATTCCATTCACAAATTCAACACAGAAAACAATAAAATAAAATAAAATAAATAAAATACAACACCAGAAAACCACAAAAGAGACAGCATAGCAGCGCAAACAACAGTTTAACCATGCATAATAGTAGCCAATATATTAACAATGCTGACTACAAAGGTACGTCTCAATTGGCTTGGTCCCATTTAAAATATAAATAACATTTCCAAGCACTTTATGTTAGGGAGACTACATAATTGTTAATATACTCCCTGGTAGAGCGGTTGATCGTTGGGAATTTTACCCACTTCGGTACAAATTTTATCCTAAGCTAGGAATTTTGGACAGCACCATAATCAGCAAGGGGAGGCTGCGGAGAGGCTGTTTATTTACATAAGCTTTTTACAAGGGTACCTACAGAATCTCCCATTCAGATTCACAAAAATCATGAGATGGTGATTTCTTCGTCTCCTCCATAGTAATAGAATGAAGTACACCGTCTTCACTTTCCAAATTTGATTTTGCATCATCCCCATACCATAATGCAAGCTGCTCATATTCTTGCTTCCTTGCAGACCTCAGTCTTGAGGAAAAGGCTTTCTGAAGTTTTTTCTAGAAAAGAAGTCTCAATTAAAGCCAGCGAAAGTAGGGAGAAGAAGGGGCAGGTGGGATGGAGAGTGTACCTTGTAAGGCCTACGCTTGCCTTCCATGTGAGGAACAAAATGAACATCCTCACCAGTCACCATCACACAAGTCTCCTCAAGTTTCACCTTGGCAGATTGTTGAAGGGTTTCCATTTCTTGTACAACAACAATATTACTCTCAATCGCATCCAAATTGGAGTCATGTGATCCCCCTGAAAAATTTGCAGTCATCAGTTACTACTTACCACATGTACAAATGAACATTCAAATTATCATGAACCAGTACACAATCTAGAAAACCCATATAAGTGAAGTATACAAATTCACATGTACAAAAGAGATTTCAGATTATCATGGACCCATATAAAATCTGGATCCCACCTGAACATAAATCTATAATGGTCCAGAGTTGAGAAAAATATCTCCATCATTATGTCAGAGTTATTATCTTCACAATCACTTTTCATCAATCAATTGTCAATCCAAAACCGACATCAACAAAATCTTGCCTCAACTCAATAACAAGAACAAGAAGGTTAATGTGCATCAGAATGAGATGTACTCAGTGGTACCAGGATGAGACGCTGAGACCTCCTTTTCAGCATATCTCTCACACTGTACTTGTCCACTTGGAGAGGATCCTACCAGAGAAACCATCCCATTGATGAAACAAATGTCTGCAGCTGCCAAACCCGAAATCAAAAGTGAACAAGCATCCAGGTTGGTGAAAAACAATACACTTTTACAGGGTCCAAAGGTAGTTACCATTTGGTTCTAATGATAAGCCACCAAAGGATGAATCTAATATTTCATTCCATTCTTTTGCATCCGACTTATCCAAAACAATCATATCAGATGAGCGGCAGCCAATTGAAACATCAGAAGTACATTGGCTTGCATTTGCAATCACACGACCTTCCCTAGTGGAGTCACATGCCATACCTTCATCTATACAAGGGGTTATAAATGTATCTATATGTTCGCATGAACCTTTATGGGTTTCATGGCAGGATGATGATTGTCTGCTCAAATCCTTTTCAGCAG